GGTTGAGAATTTAGAGGGTTAATATGTTGTGGGGTTGTTAACCAATGTCATAAAACAACATGTGTACTACTGTTTCATGAGAAACTATTTGTTCTATAAGCCTTCATCTGAAGTACAATAAAATAAAAATAAAAAATAAAGGAGCCCTAAGCACTTGGCTGTTAACAGAAAGGTTGACAGTTGAAACTCACGCAGCAGCTCCACGGAGAAAGACCTGGTGGTCTACTTCTGTAAGGATTATAGCCTAGAAAACCCTATGGGGCATTTCTTCTCAGTCACATGGAGTTGCTATAGCTTGAAAATGACTCGATGGAACCCAACAACAACAGCATGCTTACAAAGGGAGTTCTGGGTGGTATGAGCCCCTTAACCGAAAGGTTGGAGGTTCAAGTCCACCTGGAGGTACCTTGAGAGAAAGGCTTTAAACATCTACTTCTGAATAATCAGCCCTTGAAAACCCTGTGGAGCACAGTTCTACTCTCACACATGTGGGGTCACCATGAGTCTGAAATGACTCCATGGCAACTGGTTTATTCTTAAAAATGAAGGTGTCCCTTCCAAGTGGTCCTCTTGCTGCAGTGACACACTGTCTGCCTTCCCTGTGCTAGATACTAGGGAGACAAAGGTGAATGAGATACAACACAGACTAATTGAAAGAATTTTTTTTTTTTTTAAGGAGTAGTCAGTTTACCAGTTACATAAGATAATCGACTATTATTTCTTCATTGATCTCTCACCATTTCTTATTTCTTCCTTCCTGGATGGGTGCCCTTGTGCTGGAACGAGTAATCTTAAGGAAGGATTATTTCAGCTTAAAGCTGGGACGCCTGTGGGGGAGAGGAAGTGAGTCACACTGGGGCTGGGAGCTTGGGGGAAACCTCATTTAGAGCATAACAGGAAATATGGTGGGTGATAAAAGTGTGTGTTCTACCTGCCTGTTACAGTCAGTATATGTGGCTGAAAACTCTAAATGCGAATTCCTGCCTATTAAATGTTGAAAGAAAAGCAACTCTCAAGTATTTTCTGTAGGTCAAATGAGGTTGATAACGATATTCTAGTAGAAGTGGAAAGGGAAGTACATTAATGGAAAGATTTAAAAAAAAAAAAAGAATCATAGTATATATAGTTTAAAAGTATAGAAGCACAGTGTAGGATAGAAGCATTTTTAGGCAGCATCCAGAGTCGAATACTTGGCTGAAACACGTCTCAAAAGGTAAATGCTCCCTCTGAGTTTTGTTTACCCTTTATCCTCTAAATTCAGAAATAACAGAAACTTCAAACTGGGAGATCTCTGGTCAGTGTGGTTTCCAAAATCAGAATCACCAGGTCTTTTATGTGCTTTGAAAGACGGTCTCCTGGCATCACAAAAGTCCCCTTGAATTCTCCTAAACCCTTATAACTGAGTTGTTGTGAATTGCCTCGGCAATTTTTTAGATTTTTGAATAAACATGATTTCTATTAAATTGGTACTTGCCGCCTATCGAATATGTAAAGCTTATGCTTCTCATCAGCTGCAGCTTAAGCTCTAAGTTGCTTCTGAATGAATCTAGGTTTCATTTGATTCATATGCATGTTGTAGAGGATGGCACCAAGCCATTTCAGGAAACGTTAGAGTTTACGAGGGTTCTTAGTTTGATATCCTAAGGAAAAGTCATATAGCTCCACCCCTATTTTCATATTTCACAACATCTTTAAAATCTGAATGAGGAATGTAGGCTAATTGGGCATACACTGGCCCTTTTATTTCCATTTCTGAAAGTTAATTAAAGGAAAATGTGATCTTTCTCAAAAAGATGCCAGACTATATAGATAAAACAGGATTGACTATGTATTGATAATTGTTGAAACTAGATGATGAATACATGATAGTCTATTATACAGTTCTCTTTACTTTTGCTGGTAACAAATTTTTAAAAAGATACCAAGGTAGCAGAGAAACTGCCACTTTGCCAGAACATCATCCAGCACTTTCCAGGTTCTAGGAAACAATCTCCAAGGAATGCCTCTTGAGGCAATATTCTGTTATTAAGGGAAAGAATCTTGGATCAGAAAGTCCTCTCATCCACCCATAGGTTGCATGGTCCACAGTGTGTTTGGAATCAGAATTACAAATATAAACTCCTGATACTACCTTTCTCCCTAGCTCCTGATAATGTGCTTTCTTTTGTGCCTCAGGTTCGTGTGACTGTATTTCCCTCAAAGACTGCTGCTCAATATTCAGGAGTCCCTTGGTGGATCATCCTAGTGGCTATTCTTGCTGGGATTTTGATGCTTGGTCTATTAGTGTTTTTACTATGGAAGGTAAGTCATATCTGGCGTTTGACTTTCATGATAAAACTTTATTTCATGTCTTTAAAAATGTGAATTAACACCAAGTGTTTTTCTTTTCTTTTTCATTACTTTTTTCCCCGATATTTCATTATGAAAATTTTCCAACATAAAGAAAATGTGAAAGAATTTTACAATGAACACCTATATACCTACCTACCTAGTAGTTTGTTTTTAAAGGTGCATTATTTGTACATGATTAGAAGTTTCTTAAAATGTATAGACTTTGGAATCCCTTGTATATAATTTAGTGTGTTTGGCAAATCATTTTAATACTTTAACATTGTCTCCACCTGAGATCAAACTCTGTATCTAAGTCAAATTGTCGAGTATCAAATTAATCTGGATCTGTATTCAGTTTCTGTAAGGAAATGTTCATGGCAACCGTCAAGGTAGCCATGAGTCAGAATCAGCTCAAAAGCAACAACAACAGTGGTCGCAGCTAGGAGTAGAAAAGCATGAAAATGAATGAATGACTCCATCCCTAGGGGTCATCATAGTCTACATAGGGGACAAGGAAGGTTTTTTCTCAAGATGACATTCCTTATTAGAATTTGGGGACTGCAAATAAAATGAAATATCTTCCACTTGCTTCCTTCTAGTAAATAGTCTACATTACAAAAAAAAGTGTATATGAGATGATCTCATACTTTGGTTGCCAGAGATTATGACCTATAGATTTTGGATTATTTCCAGTGAGTAATGGAGGTTCACACCCTTATCTGTAATCCCAAATTCTAAAAAGCTCTGAAAACTGAAAGTTTATAGTGACTTACATGGCAGCAAACCCTGATGTGATACGAAGAGGGGCTATTTATAGTCTTTATCCTTTATTCATTAGTTTCACTACAGAAATATTAAGATTTTGTGATGACAGTGTCATTTTGTGTGCACCATATTGTTTTTCTAAAAAGCAAAAAATTCTGAATTCCAAAATACCCGTGGTGCAGAGTTTTGGATGAGGGACTGTGAACCTCAACTGCCAATCTTCTTGAATCAAACACCTCCTTATCTGAGGAGTATAATGGATAAGGGTTCAGGATAGTCTCCCTTTAAAATACTAGGCATCTCTTTTTTCTTTATTTTTCCAAATAATTTCCTTTTGCCAATCTAAGATCACTTTCTGGTGTCCTCCAAATGTATGTTTGAATCTTGGTATCTGCTCATGCCAAGACTCATCCCGAAGTGGGGCTTCAGCCAGCCTACCTCTGATGTGAAGCTCAGGCAGTAGGTTTCTCTGGCAGGCACAGCCAGCCAACATAGAGATGCCCTGAAAATCATTTTGCTATCAGAAACTGAATTTGGGGTTTGATATTTGAGGATGACCTTATCTGCTCTCTGGAAGAGGTCACGAGGACAGTCTTCTTTAGAGCAGTTCTTATTGTCGGTCTTTAATGAGGGTGTAAACATGACGGTGGGTTGAGATTTAAGAAAACAAGCTGTGTGATTTTGGACAAATCATTTCACTGCCCTGGGCACTGGTTTGTCTCAGCTGTTTAACAAGTGTGTTGGACTAAATGATCTCAGTGACTACTTTGAAAGCTCTAAAGTAGCCAGACTCCCAGGCAGACTACTATAATCAGTTAACTTCTGCAACTCCCCTATGAAAATCATTTTTATTACATTATAGACATTATTTTTTCTTAAACCGAACTATTTGATTTTTATGTATTAAAGTTACAAAATATTAGGGTCAGAAAGGATGCAAGCTTCATGGTCTTTAAATTGGGTTTTGCATATCCACGTAGGTGCCAAGGTTAAGCTAGTCAAGTGGGGCTTGAGCCTTCATCCCTACTTCAGTCATATCATGCTTTAAATACTGGAATTCTACATAGAATTTTGTTTGGAGGAAAAAGAGAAAAGACCTCTGAGCTGGTCCAGTTACCTTCATTTTGCAGACAAAGACATTCACGCTCAGGGGTGTTAAGAATGTTGTAAAGTTGGACAACTCTCAGTTCCTGGTCCGTTCCTCTTTCCACCCTTTTTACGAGCACGTGTTATTGAAAGTTTGCTGGGTGTGTTCACTGTGTATTAAATTAAGAGTTGCAAATAGATACCAGGGTAGTGTAGATCAGTACTGCCCAGCAGAGTGTTCTATAACGATGAAGATGCTCTGGAGCTGCACTGTCCAGTAAGGTAGCCATTAGTCACATGTGGCTTCTGAGCACTAGTGTAACTGAGGTATTGAATTTTACATTTTACTTCATTTCAGTTAATTTGAATTTTAATAGCCACATAACCAGTGGCTTCATGAAGTTGCCAGCCTAGGAAGCAGAATTTTGCAGAAGGACAGAGATTTATTTGACTAAGTGCTATTTCAAAGGGCAGTTCCATGGCCTTATGAACTAGATAAAAGTAAATAGAAAATTTCTCCACTGCTGAGTGAAGGAAATTATGGTGGAAAGTAGAATTATACTTTTATACTCATTTAGAGTGACCTAACCAGAGGAACTTAAGTTTCTACCACTTGAGGGTTTCGTGGTGGTTCAGAATTTCAGAAAATGACAGCAATCATTCTTTCATGATGGTGTGTTCGAATTGTGATTTATCCCACCTATCCAAAGGCCTCAAGTAGATGGCATTTGTTCCATAAAACTTACTCTGAAAGGCAGAAAAATACCCACGGTGTGTCTATATTTTATTTGGATTTGTGCAAAGTCTTACTTAGAGAATTCTTTTTCTAACCTTTGTCTCAAATAAACTGCAGAAGTCAATCTTTTGCCTATTTTAGAGTCCGTATTCTCCTGCAAGGAGAAACCACCCAAAGCTACAATCAGATGTGTATACAGTTTCCCTTTTAAAATGATTTTTGTCCTTTTAGTCTCTGTTCCAAATAGAAAAATCAATTAGCTGACTAATCTCATCCATAAAAATCTCTGGCCAGAGAACTGTGGTGAAAGAGTTGGGTTGAATGCTGTCACAATACCTTATAGTGCAGCGGCTGTTTGCTTTGGGGTTGACCCATAGTGGTCTCTTTGTAAACAAGCTGTTAATAGAAAACAGGTGAAAATCTGAGGTTTTCTTTTGTTTAGCTCTTATACACAAAATTGTAAAATTGACTAAATACCTTGCTTCCTTGTAGTGTGGTTTCTTCAAGAGAAATAAGAAAGATCATTATGATGCCACATATCACAAGGCTGAGATCCATGCTCAGCCGTCTGATAAAGAGAGGCTTACTTCTGATGCATAGTATTGATCTACTTCTGTAATTGGTAATTGATCGATGTTTTTTAATTGCTAGCTCTGGGACCTGCTGTGGTTGTGGTGGCTAACTTTAAGAGCAACAGCTTGCTATGTGTGTCCCATTAACAGATGTTTCCAAATGTCCACACTGGCTTTCCTTGCTTAGATTTATTTTATTAAGTACACTTGAAAGCTCACAGTTTTTAAAAAATGCACAAAGAATCTTTTGTTGCAGGTGAGTTGCTTTGTGTTATCGTTGTTACAGATCACCCATGGCAGTGAACAAAATCTCATTCATTGTACACACAAAAGGAGACTCTAGACCTCCATCATAGCCCAGTTTGCCACATGTTGTTAAGTCTCATTATGTAGCATCCCACTTGGGACTTTCAAAGATGCATAAGAAATCATTCCAGATTTCTTGTCCATTTTGGAGTTTTCCACAAACAGAAGCTTGTGTTGACTGCCTAATTAACCTGTTGCATGTTGGATCCGTGTTCTTCTTGATGGCGAGGCTTTGTCACTGTCATCTTTTTTGATCTCCTTGTCCTTGCTATAAAGTGATGGGGGAAAGCTTGGAATGCTTTTGTTGCTCAGAAACCATCTTATGCTAGCTAAGCATGCAACTTCCTTTTCTTGCATATCTACTGCAGGTCAAAGACCATTACAACAAATTATGACTATCAGCATGATGGAGATCATGGCCATCTTCAGAAGATGGTCCTCTTACCTAAGTAACCTTCAGTATATGGAATTTTAATACAAAAAGTGCTCTGGACAGTTATTTCAATATGTTGTAATGGAATTTGACCTTGTTTCATGTTCCTGGAAATCTTATTCAACCTTGGGTCTCAGTTGATTTTAAGTTCATGTTTTGCTTCTCTATTTGTAAATCCATGGAAACAGGAATTGGTAGTGATTCCTTTTTCCATTTCTGTGGGCATGAAAAGATAGAATTCCTCCTATAATCCCTTTCCAAGGCACTATTAGGATGAATCCCAACATTGCCTTTGCAGTTTTCTGTATCACCCTTAATTTCCCTCTTTGTTTAAACGGGGCAGCAGTCACATTTTGTAATAGGTAGGTACTTTGACTCTTTTGCATAGAAAAATAAATGAGTCAATGTAGAAGGGGCCGTAGAACAAAATTTCTTTGTCCATTTTGCCTGTTGATTTAGTGATAACTATGCACATAATTTTGCCCCATGGCATTTTTATAACAGCATCATTTAACATAAACATTCTGTTTCTGTTGATGTCACCTAATAAATTTATTAATCAACCATTCTAAGTATCTTCCTCATCCAGATTTCTTTTGGCTGCATTTCTAAATTGAAAATATGTTTTAAAAAATCATGTATATATTTTATTCATTTAAAAATATTCAGTCTGATTAAAAAATGTTCAGATATGTTCTTGATAAAAATAGACTTTGGATCAGATCGAATATTTTGTAATGAAAAAATATATTCATTAACAATCTGAACATAGTGTCTTTTTCCAAAAGAAAGAGAAATCAGAGGGTCCTCTGAACCTTAGTGCAATGAAAACTGTCCTCAAGTCCTAAGCGGTATATGATTGATTTTATTGCAGGACAGTTACTACATGATTTATTAATAACTCAGTTTAAATTGGAAGCATAACAGCCAATCCAAGCAAAGTAAATTACCTTTCAGCTTAGCTAATGAGAGCTGTGATATGTGTAGTAGAGCCTCAGAGAAGAGGGAGAAGATTCTTAAACTGACCCATTAAATTGGATGCTGGCTTATTTAAATAGTAACAGGTAGAATATCTGTGACCTGATTTCCATTTTATTAGTTGGAGAGGAGCATGATATAATCTTTGTTTTATAGCCCTAAAAAAAATTGTTCTTAAAATGACATTCTAAGCATCTGAAAATTAGATATTTTACATATAATATTATTTAAAAAAGGAATTAGTGTTTCATAAACTCTTTAGATGGTTAGTAAAGAGATAGCTTACATTGTTATAAAATATAAAGACAAGATAAAAATAGACTGTATTTCATTTTACAGCTATTTTTTTCTTCCCTTTATTCCTATTGGCTGTTATCTTTTCAGACCTATTAGTTCTTTCTTAAAAGAAACCATTTTTTTTCTTAGTCCAAAGGTAGGCATAGCTGAATAGACAGCTTAGACACTCTCATGTAGGGCACCTGCTTTTTCTGAGATTAATTCATTTGTTTTTCTCTTTCCCCTTTCCCCAGTGTGGCTTCTTTAAACGCTCTAGGTACGATGATAGCGTTCCCCGATACCATGCGGTAAGGATCCGTAAAGGAGAGCGAGAGATCCCAGATGAAAAATATAATAACGATAACCTGGAAAAAAAGCAGTGGATCACAAAGTGGAATGAAAATGAAAGCTACTCCTAGGGGAACCAAAAAAGCGCCACAGTACCCAAACTGCCTTTTTTTCCCCTGCTCCCAACACAGAAATTCAAATGGATTTTAAGGCCCTTCAATACCCAAATATTGATTGCAGACTGACTACACACAGTACGAACATACAGTTTTAACTGTGGATATTGTTACGTAGCCTAAGGCTCTTGTTTTGCACAGCCAAATTTAAGACTGTTGGAATGGATTTTTCTTTCACCGCCTTAATTTAACTTTCTAGGTTGCCTTTGATTTAGGTGTGGCTGACTTACACGTGCTGGGGAGGGCAGGGGCCTGCCGGCTTGTGCTCACGTGACATCCTCTTGATAACCTTGATAACGTAGCTGGGGGAAGGCGCCGGTGGTCACCATCCCAACCTCAGCACTGCTTCTGCAAACGTTCTTCCCTTAGGATTGGAGAACCTGCAAGTCAACTGGCCCACGTGACAAGACTCTGTTGCCAGGGTAGTTGTTTTTCAATTTAAATGCTGTCTTAAATTAAATGTGCAATAGAAGGTGATGTTGCCATCCTGACATCTTTTTCCATTTCCTGGATGTGTGAGTGCTTGCTCATACCAAATGCTTACAGGCTTCATTCTTTTTTCACTAAAACACCCAGGCGCAACAGATTAGAATGCTAATTATACTTATTTGTATATATTTAGACCTGGTATTTATTTTTTGTTTTTACAAACCATTTTGTTATTGACAGGCCAAAGATTCTCCAGTTGACCCTTCAGGTTGGTTTAAGCAATCAGAATTAGAACACGAGAGGTCATTGGTTTGACCTAAATTATTTACTGCAAAAGGAAAATACTAATTCTTTATAAATGTACTAGAGCGTTGTTTTAATAAGTTAAACTTATCTGTAAATGATAACATCTCCCTCCATGACCACCCCCACCCCCTTCCTCCAAACCAAAAGGTTTAAGAAATAGGATTAATCGTAAGGTAATTTCATTCTTATCAGAAATTGGATATTTTGGAGTTTAGAGCCCAGTGTGGATTTCTGAATTCCATACTGTAACTTTCAGGAACTCTTGGACAGAATGGGTTTGTTCATTAAACTCCAGGGCAGTTCACTTACTGCTGCAAATACTGTATATTCAGGACTTGAAAGAAACAGTGAGTGCCTATGGTGGGGCCAAACCCATCCCATGTGAGACTACTACTGAATATCTGATACCAAAACAGTGATTCTAGTCAGATAAAAAACATGGCTTTTAAGTTTTTAAATGTTATTAGAACCATTTAATCAGTGAGTCAGTGTTCTGTTTTGTTTCCTATTCTCCCTTACCCTATATTGCCAAATTGGCTTTGGAACTACTTTAATAAGACATTGTTTGTTAATTGTAAAAATGGAAGAAGAAGAAAAAGACAATTATTCTATACATTCAATCAAGTTTGAAGAGATATGAAAGCTGATTTTTTTTTTTTTAATTACTGTGCTTCGAAATGTTAAGTTATGGGGAGCAACAGCAAACAGGTGCTAATTTGTTTAGATATAGTGTAAGCAATGTCTCGATCTTTTAAAAGAACAAAGTATATAGCAATATGTGGCACTGTTGCTTTAGAGTTTGAACTGCGTTTTCTTTTCAGAGATCGTACACCCTCAAGGTAGTAAGGGCGTTGTTTTGATTGTACTTTGGAGTTTTCAATTTACATGAATAGTTATACAAATGATATTTTGTTTACAAAAAGTCTCTAAAACAGGGTCATAACAGTATTTAAAATCTCAGTTTCTTGCTTAGGTAACTTGAAGTCTAGTGCTTTGTGGGTTAAGTCTAGGCTTTGTGGATTGCAAAGAAGCTGATATTTTGAGAGTGTTTATAGACCTTTGTTATAAAAATGAATGTCCTGAGAAGCGGGGAGGGTCGGGTGGTTCAACAACAAAGAAACAAGGAAGTTGTGGCATTTGAATTTAGAGTTGTTGAAAATGTCATCTCAAGTCAAGTCACTGGTCTGTTTGCATTTGATACATTTTTATACTAACTAGCATTGTAAAATTATTTCATGATTAGAACATAACCTGTGGATATTTGTATAAAAGTGTGAAATAAATTTTTTTAAGAAAAAGGTCATTCTAAATAATGCAGCATTGTATATGTGAGAAGAACTCTAAAATTATAGACGACAACCGGAATTGCCTTCCTTTTCATCAAGCCAGACTAAAGTTTGCATTTAGAGTACCAAATAGTTTTCAATGTTTTTATTACTCTTAGTGTCCTGTATAATCTCAGATCCGTCAAACATACTGGTACAATGTGATTGAGGGTTTTTTGGTTTTGTTTTATTTTTGTTTCTCGGGTGGGTTTTTGTTTTATTTGTTTTTTTTTATTCAACTGTTCAAATCTTTACAGTAATGTTCACCTTTACAAGTAAAAGAAAATGGTCTTAAAGATGGTTTAGTCACGATATCTGCCAGTTGGGAGTTGTGTTCGCATTGATTCATCTGCTTCAAAGGCTTGTGCCTGTGAGGGATAGGGTATTGTTTAGCAGTGATACCATGACACGAAGAATCAAAGTTACTTCCTTCTTTAATACACATTTTGGAAATGAGAGCAGTCCAGCTATGATCTGTGTCATTATACTGATCACAAGGACTGGTTTGGCAGAATAACCAGTCAGAAAATATTTTCTTCGCCAGAGGACTTCATTTAGATTTAAGCAGTTTTATGAAATTGGTCTAGCTGGATTATCATAATGTAATAAAAGAAAATGAAGCATGCATAGGGCGCCTACACAGTATAACGTTCCCTGGCCTGAATACATCTCCAGTCTAAAATGTGTTTGGTAGATTATGTAATCATTTCACACTGTATTCTGTATTATATATTCAGTCTTAGTCTGCTTGGCTCTTTGGATATCAGACAGGTATCGCCACCCAAAGAAATGTGAGTGATGCTTTCTAATGATGTGAACTGGTGGCTGTGAACCTTTTAAAACCATAGTTCACATATCCAGTCTCATGGATATACCTAGATTTTAACAAAATCCTAGAAAATTTTGCCTGGAAGGAAGTTACTACAATAATGTGTAATCATCATAACCATCAAGAGTCTATCAGGATACAACCAAACACCTCATGGGAATTGGCTTCTTGGGTTAGAGGTTTAGGGTCATGGTTTCATGGGACGTCCCAGGTAATTGGCCTAATATGGTATTTAGTGCTTCAGTTTTACCCCCTAGTTTGTTGCATAGTGCACGGGGTCTTAAAAGCTTACAAGCGGACATCCAGGATACAATAATTGGTCTCTGTTCACCTGGAGCAACAGAGGAAGGAGAGTCAAGAATAGGAGGAGGAAATAGAATACATGGCTAATTGCCTCCATGACCAACTGCCTCCTTTGCCATGAGACCAGAACTGGATGGTGCCCGGCTACCATTACTAAACATTTTGATCAAAGATTCTGTAGCAGAATCCTGATCAAAAGGGGGAAAATGTGGAAGAGAATTTCAAATTCTCATGAAATCCATACTTTCTGGAGCCATTGAAGCTAGATGAACCCCTGATACGATTGCCCTGGAATAACCTTTAAACTTTAAACCAAAAATATCCTCGAAAGTCTTCTTAAACCCAAACAATAATTTAGCTTCACTGGTAAGAAATGTCTGCCTTGAGCATTGTGCTCCTTGAAGATCTGTCTGTGTGGGATCAAACTGACAACAGTAACACGAAACATTAGATAGGAAACTTAAGGAGCAATAAGTTTGTTAATGAAGGAGGAACAATTTGGAAAAGGAGGATGAGAATGGTTGCACAACTTGAAGAATGTAGGCAGTTTCACTGAATTGTACATGTAAAAATTGTTGAATTGGTGTATGTTCTGTGTATATTCTCAACAAACAAAAAAAGAATCATTGTGCTACAGAAAAATGCTCAAAATTTCCTCATACTGCAGGGGAAAAGCAACCAAAAATTGCTTTGAGGGCCCTCGTTGGCTAAGTCACCCTGCGTCCAAGAAAGAAGTCGGGAGTTGTTGTTTGGCGAAGGCTACAGCGTAAATGAGATGGGGCTGGAGGAGTTCATGGTGATGCTTCATGTGACTCCTAAGATTCCATGCCTTTCCCTCCCTCTCAAAAAGTCCTACAGGAATGCCTGTAAGTGATAGTGGCATTAAGATGGTGATATCCTTAGATCCACTTGGATCCATAAAGGAAATCACTGGAAACATTGACACTTTAGTATTGGTTACAGATTACTCAGCATGCAGTCATGGCTTGTGCCCTGTGGTTGAAAATTAGTATTCTAGGATGTGGCGTAGATGTAGGTGGAGAATGCTTTGAATTGTCCAGGCTAGGGAAGCAAGGATAAGACCAAGCCTTCTACTCTAAATGAAAACATCTTAATGAGAAACTGGTCTTTAGTACACTAGCACATGAAAGGACGAGGTGGGAAGACAGACTGAGATGGATTGTTTTGTTTGAAAAGAGTGAAATACTGTAGGTGGTTGGGTTCCACATAACTACATCCTCAGGGCTGAGAAAGCAGGGATGTGGAAGAGTTGTTTGATCAGTTTGGGTAGCATAAAGTAAATTAATGATGAAAGGCAGTTCCTCAAGGCCAAAGGATAGGGTCCTGCATTGAGGAGAAGGCGAAGTACAAAGAGATGAAGGAAATGAGCTTCAGAATGAGTTCAAAAGAGTGACTATTGCAGAGAAGCTAGGGGGCATCTGTTCTTCCAGTAGGCTGATTATGGTCAAATGGTAAGTGTTTTTCTCTCTCATGTACCTTAGAAAACAGGTTCTGCTGGCTCTGAAAGGCATCTGATCCAGCCGTTAGAAGGTGGAAGTGCTACCTAGCAGTGGCTGAGGCCTGGTCCGCGGAGGTGTTCCTAACAGGCATGGTGAGAAGGCGAGTCATAAAAGGATTTGTGGGTAAATCCTCTAAGGATAAATGAACTGTGAAACAAACCAGAGCAAGGAAACTGGTCCAGCACAGTAAGGGTGGACCAGCTGCCACAAAGGGCCAAACTGAGCAGGTAATGGTTGATGATTACACTGGAGTGCGGGTGCAATCTGTGTAGCAGTCCACAAACTTTAAGTGCCTCAATCTTTTTGCCCATGCCCTAGAGCCAGCTCTCGGGCTGGCTGTGCTAGGGTCATGAAAACGAGCAGAGACAGAGCCATGTTAGGAGAGGTCAGGTAAAATTATACACTATTCATCCTTCTAGAACATCTACCAAAAATCACAGGAAACTGCAGGGGCAGATTGTGCTTCTCTTCATACCTCAAAACCTAGCAACGAAGTATTCAGTTCACCAATAACAGCTGATAGAGTTAAGTGAACCTTCTATTAAGATCCTGTTGTTCTGAAGCGGAGATATTTAGATGTGATTTGATCATTTTTTCTCAATTGAAAGGAAGTGGACACGTTTCTAGGAATGTTAAATTGGGTACAAATATGTATAATATACAATATGCATACAAATAATATTTGTATATACATACAAATAATTTAAATCAGACCTTTCAATGGAAAATTATCTAAAACAACAGATGGTACTGACAAACATAAGTGAATTCACTTTATAGGAAAAAAAAAAAAAAGTTGTCATCGAGTCAATTCCGACCTATAGCGACCCTCTAGGACAGAGTAGAACTCCCCCAGAGGGTTTCCAAGGCTGTAAATCTTTACAGAAACAGACTGCCACATCTTTCTCCCACAGAGCAGCTGTTGGGTTCGAAAAGCCAACCTTTTGGTTAGCAGCCGAACTCTTAACCACTGTGCCACCAGGGCTCTTTATGTTATATAGATAGCAGAATTAGTAACTTTGAATTAAGACATCACTGGTTGACATATACAGTCAGCATCTGATCCTGAGGGTGTAACTTACCCTGGAGCCAATCCCCATTCACAGGAAATTGTGGAGCAGAAGGGCTCAATCTGGGCTGCACATTTGGATCACCTGGGGAACTTTAAAGACGCCTGTTGCCTAGGCTAACACCAGACTAATTACATCAGAATCTCAGAGGGTGAGACCCAAGCATAGTACTGTTTAAGTGTAGCCAAGGTTGAGAACAACTGCTTTAGGGGCCCTTGGATGGCCTGGAGCTTTATCAAAAGGGCTGTACCCACTGTCTAGAAATTCCTCGTTTCTGCTTGTGGTACTTTCACTGCACCATTAACAAGAGCTGAAAAGCTAGAGGTATATTTATGATAAATAGGAAGGCAGTCTAGCAGGCTGCTTAAGAATATGGCTCTGGAGTAGGACTTCTGAGGTGTGAATTAGCTTCACCTTTTTGAATATATACTTGGGTGAGTTACTGACACTTCTGTGCCTCACTTTTTCATCTGTAAAATGGGATTGATGGTAATTCCCATCTCATAGATTCTTGTAAGCAATAAAAGACAGTCTGGAAGTGCTCAATAAATGTTAGCTATTTTTATTATACTTGTTTATTATACAGTCATAAAATGTTAAGATAGGAGGGCACTATGGAAATCTAGTTCTACGTCCTCGATTTCACAGATGGGGAAACATGGTTTATTTCAGTTGTGACTGGAACCTTTTGTCTCCACACTCTCCAATGTCTACCAACCCATGACTTACTAATGAGTATTACAGCTACAATCTATAAGCCTAAGTATCCTTCACTAGCTAAAAAATACCGTGAACCTAACTCAGATTTAAACTGCTTATCAGCATAGGTCATTTTGCAGAAAAACAAGATTGACCTTTGTTCCATGTTAAACTCTGACTTAGCCCTTCATGCAATGACCAAAAATGTAAGTTTAGGTCGGGATCAGGATCCAGCTCAGAAAGTCAGTGTGTTAAGAGAATCAAGTAGGCATCCAAAAATTGCTATGTACTGATTCCTCTTGGTATTTTTTTTTGAAATAAAGAAATGTAAAAAGGATAGATTCCTTTTTTTGAAACTTTTCTCAGAGTTCTTTACATACTGTCCATAGTTTGGTTCCCTTTAGGGGGAAGGCAAACTGCAGTGTTACTGCTTACAACCTTGACTGATGTGCAGAAGAGGAAATGCTCACAGAGCCTACCTCATGTTTGAATCACATATGTTAGACCAGAGTGTGTCACTGGAAGAACAGAGTTTTAAAAACTCCCATGTCTACCTCTCATATGTCACAATAATACATTGATCAAAAGACGTGTTAAAGGCAAAGAAATGCATTATTTGCCCCTCAGAAGACTGAGGGGTTGTTTGGTTCTAGGGTGTCATCAAACTGCTGGTAGAATTGAAGTGCTAGGGAACTTACCTAACTGGGGAAGCCTTCCCTGACTGGGGAAGTCTTAATCAACAGAGTGGTTAAGAGCAGTGCTTCTCACACGTGAGCATGTGGAGGAGGAACCCCCCAGGGATCTTGTTAAGAGGCAGGTTTTAATTCAGAGCGCTGCTATTGAGCTTGAGATTCGGCATTTCTAACAGGCCTCAGTTGCTGCCATGGATTACACTTGAGGTAGCAAGTGTCTTTGGGGTCAGTCTTTGCTCAAGTCTTTGCCACTTCCTACTTGTGTGACCTTGGGCAAGTTTACTAATGTCCTATGCCTTAATTTGCTGATCTGTAAAATAGTATATTTATGGAATAACTAGGGTTATAACCTAGGTCACCAGTGAATGGACACCATACCACCCATCTCTATACAATGCCAACATCCTCAATTGTGGGAATAAAGAGCAACGGGGTGCATTTTAGTCTGAGTATATATATATATAGCTTTCACTATCTTGACAGGATAGATAATAGTCTTAGGCCACTCTTGTGGACCCTGCTTTCAAGATTGCTGCTCTGCTAGAAGCAAAATACCATTACAACTGAATGGTATACAACATGCCAGTTTTTGTAGGTGACCCATTGAAACAGTGATATGTTGATCTGCTTATAGTAAGTTCTCTAAATCAATGACGAAAACAAAGAATTTGAGATAATGTTCTGTCTGGCCCTAACGCTTAAGCTTTTGCAATTCTATATTTCCTTTCTCAAGCAGCAATTATTCTTCAGTTATCTTTTGCCTGTTCCCACCATATATAACCCAGCTACCCCTGCCAGAAAACACACACACTAAAATAAGTAAAACTCCAAAGCCATTCTCGTAGATACAGTGGATTGGTTTGCTCAACCTCTACTCCACCATCCTTCTAGTTGGAAGGATTAGAAAGCAAACTTCTTGCAGTTAAGGCGTTGCATGTGAATTAGAGTCTGTGAATTAGATACACTTGTTTAAGATCTGAACCGTGGACTCAAGGTGGTTGCTTCTGCTAGCAAGCATGGTTGTGCAGACCTGAGCTTTTTCTGTGTCAGTGTTCAGTGTCTTCTAGCTTTCTGACCATTAAATAAGGGTTAACTGTTGGTGGCCTCTTGATTCCATTTTCCAGACCTTGGATTGTACTTATAAATATTTGTCTTTGATTCAATTTCCAAGGACCTCCTCAGAGCTTCCCAAGTGGGTCAGTTCTGCATTATTCTAGGAGTTTCCTTCAGAGATTCAGCCTAGAGTCCACTTCCGTCAATGTTATATATATGTAACCCCCTGAATTAAATCCCTTTGTGCCAGTAATATCTAGAGTGGTTTCTGTTGTCTGCACCGGACCCTGACTGATATGGCCACCCAACAAAATGCTAAAATATCTGGGAAATTGAATGAGAAAATAGGCAGAGAGGAGGTAGCTACCTTCTTCCAGCTACTGCTAGATTCAAAGTACTTTTACTGCATTTAAGATCAACTTATGGGGCCCTAGTAGCACAGTGATTAAGAGCTCGGCTGCTAACCAAAAGGTTGGCAGTTCGAATCCACCAGCTGCTCCTTGGAAACCCAATGAGGCAGTTCTACCCTGTCCTGTAGGGTTGCTATGAGTCAGAATCAACTCAACAGCAGCGGGTTTTTTGTTTTTTAAGATCAACTTGATTCTCCAAGATATGTCCAAAAAAGCTCACAACAGAGTAAATTTTGTTCCTTGTTTTTTCTAAATCTCTGAGAGAGGGCGGAAATATATACATTACCTGACTCGGGAAGGAAAAAAAAAAAGACGAAAGAAACTTGAGGGGAATAAAAGTAGACAAAAGTGTAAAGAATCTTCTTTAAGTTCAAGAGAATATCATTTCATGGATTGAATGTGCTTATTAAATACCACTAATCAATTCCAGCAAAGATTAAGAAATCTTCACTTTGCAGAAATTTTTGTCAGTACAATATAACAAAACATATTTCCAGTCTGCAGAACATCGAAATGGGTAATAAGTGTGTGATGGTTTTGCTAGCCCAGCATCCCTCTCCTTGTGACAGGATCTGCTGTATTTTTTGGAAAGCCTTCCCTCTCGTAAATACAGTCCAGTCTGTGTGGTTGGGGTAGTAAACCACCTCTCCACAGCTCTCCCCAGTTTCCAGGGGTGGAAATATGGCCCCAGCCTTGCCAGTCAGTCCTGGTGTTTTTCTAGAGTAATTAGGGAGAGAAGTGCTCACTACTGAGATTTTGCCCATCAAGGTCTGTGGAAGCCTGGTGTCACTATATCTATCTTTGCCGTTATGAAAAGAGTCAGCCTGATAATGAAGCCAATGCCAAGGAAAGCAGAACTGAAATATGGGGAGAAAGAGGAGGGCAGGACACATTCTGGTGTTCTTCTGGATCCACCATAACTGGAGAATTTTCAGTTACAAGAGACAAAATAGTCTTTCTTTTCAGGAAATTTGAGCTGAGTATTCTGTACTTGAGTCTACAAGAGTCCTGCCTGATACAAAGTAAAATCTGTCAAGCTCATCACCTCTCTGCAAGGATTATTAAAAGAAAATAGATATTTGGTTTTTCTGAATTTCCTTTCTTAAATGTTTTACCCAATGGATTTTTCCCATCTCTCTTCCCTTAGCTGTAGCCGCACCCTGCTTCCTGCTTCACAAAGAAAACGGAAATTATCATATAAGGAGCATCTCTATTTTCTGCCTAGATTTGGACCCTGGTCTAATTCTAATTTAACACACATGTTCTCTTCCCTAGCATCCTCCTCTGTAAAATAACTACTTTGTTGATTAGTGTCTGTGCCATAGGAGGTACTCGATAAAGAGTAGCCATAGTCATTGGAGAGAGCGAGTGACTCAGGCAAGGTTACATAGTTAGAAAGCAGTGGAGCCTTGATTCCAACCCAAGTCTGCCCACATCCAATTCCACACATTTCTTAAACACACTTAAAATGCATCCCAATCTTAAGCATGTCCTCTTCCCATCTCAGGCAAACCTTCCAGTCCTCCAGGACCTTATTCAATAGTTAACTCTCCTTTATATCCAGCTTCCCTCGTTAGTCCCTTGCCTGCAATTAGACATGATCAGGATTTTCACATTGTAAAATACATAAATAAACTCATTTTCAACTCCATAGTCCTTTCCAATGAGTGTATTTATTTACAGTTATCATTGCTACTTCCTCCCTATAATTCAGCTTCCTTGTCCCTGTTCTCAGAAATCACTTACTCCAAAGCCACCAACCTTTTGGTTATTAAATCTAAAGTATGTTTCTCAGTCCTCATCTCACTGAACTGCTAGAGGATATTTGGCAGTATTGAGTGTCCCCTCATTTTTTAATACACTCCCCTAGGCTTCTGTCCTGGTTATCTAGTGCTGCTATAACAGAAATAACCACAAGTGGATGGCTTCAACAAACAGAGTTTTATTCTCTCACAGTCTAGTAGACTAGAAGTCCGAATTCAGGGTGCCAGCTCCAGGAGAAGGCTTTCTCTCTCTGTCGGCTCTGGGGGAAGGTTCTTGTCATCAATCTTCCCTTGGTCCTGGAGCTTCTCCCTGCAGAAACCCCGGGTCCAAGGGAAACACTGTGCTCCCGGTGCTGCTTTCTTGCTGGTATGAGATCCCCATGTGTCCATGCTCGCTTCTTTTATAGCTCGAAAGAAATTGGTTTAAGACACAACCTAATGTAGATAGAGTCCTGCCTCATTAACATAACTGCCTCTAATCCCATCTCATTAACATCATAGAGAGGGTTTACAGCACATAGGAAAATCACATCAGATGACAAAATGGACAGTCACACAATACTGGGAATCATGTCCTAGCCAAATTGACACATATTTTCGGGGAACACAATTCAATCCAAGACAATTTCTAATCTTGGTCATCTCGAATAGTGTTGCTTTTTAGGATTGTGTCTCTGGCTATCATTGTTTCTCTCGATTCACACCCTCCCTGGTGATCTCCACAACTCCACTTATCTGTATCAGAGACAGAGGGTTGTTTTTCTATACTCATTCTTTCCTTCTGTTGTTGTTAGGTGCCATCGAGTTGCTTTCAACTCATAGCGACCCCATGTGACAGAGCAGAGCTGTATTCTGCATGGTGGGGGCATCGTCTGACTCCTCGTCTAAATTCACAAGGGGGAGGAGAGAGAATCAAGATCATCTGCATCAGCTCAAGGCTGATTCCTATGAGGTGGAGATTAGGCATACGTTCTCCAACCTCTTTACCAATTTTGACGCTGGTCATCCCTCCCGCACAGGGCCAGATTAAGGCATGTGAGGGCCCTCTCCTCTGCTTACGCACACATTTGAACGAGATATGTGAGATGTATGAGTGTGTGTGTGTGTGTCTTAGTTATCAATGATGTAACTTCTTTTTAAATGTGACTATAATATTAGTGATTGAATGCAAAAGTGGCGTATGCCATTTTATCAGAATGAAATAAACTGGATTATAAAATTTTTAGTGGATAAGGAGTATTAAGATTTAGGGCAGTGTTTCATTCTGTTGTACATAGGGTTACTATGAGTTGGAAAAGACTCGATGGCACGTAACATCAACACAACCACCACATTTTCTACAAAAAAGAATATTCCATGTATTCTGCAACAAAGAAAATGAGTCAGTGAACTTAATTGTTTCAACAATCAATGTAGAAT